TGGGTGTTTTAGCAGGCTCAAACTGAATAATGTGCATCAGTAATAATGTCAAGAGCAGAGCCTGTAGCCCTGGGCTTTGACCGTCTCAGTGACCTGATTATGTCAGCCAGTGTCAGCCGCCACGACACTACAAACACACACATCAATGGCATCGCCATGCCGATACGTCCAGCCAAGCCCTGCAGGCACCTTCAGTATAGACAAGGCCATACCAGTTCGTTAGGTAACGCCTACCGTACACATGCACACATTTGGCATCTTCTCATATGAGTGACAATTTAGAGCCTGGTCTCATTGTTTATACGTAGGTACACTCTTAAAAATAAAGGTGCTTCACGGCATTTGAAATAGAAACCTTTTGTAACGCTATAAATGTCTTTACTGTCACTTTTGATCACTTTAATGCATCCTTGCTGAATATAAGTATTAATCTTAATACTTAAAAAAAAATGAGCCCAAACGTTTGAATGGTACTGCAAAAGCATCTTAAAAGCACCATAAAATGTCAAAAAACTTATGTGCTACATTACAAGCTCTCCTTAGTATGTTCATAGGATCTCATGAGGAAAGTAGTGATTCACAAACGATTCATTCTTTTGAGTCATATATTTTAAACACTGGACTGATCCGGTTCTCCAGTTTGACTCATTGACTCAACAAACCAATCCTTTTGCACACTTATGAAGCTTATGAAGCATTGCTAGAACATTCTTTCTTTCTTTATTTTCTTTTTATTTTGTGGAAAAGAAAGGTTTGGAATGACATGAGGATGAGTAAATGCTCATAGAATCTTAATTTTTGGGTGAACTAAAGAAGTAGCAGGAGGAACTAAGAAACTAACAATGTCTAACAAATTTCAGCCTATATTCTCCTCCTGTTTCCTGTCTCCTCTGTCCGCACCCCCCATCTCTCAGCGGGGGCCGCTGTGAAGAACCTTTTGAAGCACCTTTATTTTTAAGAGTGTATTAGTATGTAACATTTACAAGCATAGCATGTACATTTTTGGATGTTTTGATTGATGCTAAAAAGTACAATTTGGATGTATTACAATGTATAAAATGTAAAATTGCTACGTATTTACAGCTAAAAAACTGCCATTCATCTTTCATCTTATCACACCATCATATATTACCAGGCTCTCTGAAATCAAATGATGAGAAAATACCACGGAGCGATCAATACTTTTCCATTGACAGTAAAGGTTAAGCACATTAAGAATGACACCGCATTTGTCTTATGAAATCATATTTCATGTTGGTGGCCTAAAATTGGCTGAGATTGATACTATGTCCCCTGGACTGAAAGTCACCCTTTTTTTATCACTAATCACAGAAATCGTGTATAAAATGTAAAATTGCTACGTATTTACAGCTAAAAAACGTAAAATATTTACTAATCTTTTATATCATTAAGATATTTGTATCAATTTAGATTTAGATTTTTAGACCCCGATTTTTACAAAGCTCATCGTTCTGAAAAGCGAGGTGTGCTCTGATTGGCCAGCTATCTAGTGCATTGTGATTGGCTGAATACCTCAAGCGTGTGACGGAAATGTTACACCCCTTAATATAAACATTTCTTAAGGATTTCTTAAGGATCATGTGACAGTGAAGGCTACAATAATGGCTGATGAAGATTCAGCTTTGCCACCACAGAAATTAATTATATTTTAAAGTATGTTAAAATAGAAAATCAACTGTTCATTGTTAATTAATGTTAATTAAGATCCATTAATTTTTTTCCCTTTTTTTGATCAATTTAATGCATCCTTGCTGAATAAATGTATTAATTTATTTTTTTTTAAATCTGAGCACAAACTGAACAGTAGTATATGTTTATTACATATTTGTGTGTGTGTGTAATAAATGTATATATACAGATGCATCTGCCTTATGTGGCCAGTTTCTACTAGATTATAGATGAGTTGGTTTTGACGCATTGCCTTTGACGTCAACAACAAAAGATATGGAGACCATTTTCTCCTCCCTTTTAATAGTTGACAAGCCGATTTATTCTACTGTCCTCACTGTGCGCGATTATATGGTTCCTTTTACATATAAAATGTCATTAGACATTTTTGATTACATTTACAACCAGAACTGTTAAAAGCATCTATAAAGCCTTCAATATAAGCGGGTAGGCTACATAAAGTGGACCCCAGCATATGATTTCTCAAACAATGCTTTCCGTCGTATTACAGAAGAGAAAGTGTCAATGCGATGAGGGGAAAGAGACAAGGGTTAAGGTAAATAATGCTGTCTGTAGCGTGAAAGGGCACATTGGCTATACAATCTTTCCTTTAATATGGGAGCGGTGCGCACCTGCGATAAGATGATTCATTAGATAGGGCCCTGGTCTGACAAGCCTCATCGTTCAAGCCTCTGGATACTGATGGAACAATTCTGCAGCCGGCCCCGTAAATATGACAAGGTCAGCATTTTATCCCTTGCACTCCCACACTGCTGTCCAATCTAAAAACAATGCCCCTCTCGGACTCGCTCTAACGGGCTAAAGACAGGGCACGAAGGTCAATACTGAAGACTGGATTTGGGTATCTGGGTTACATTATACTAATAAAGGAAATGATGTTCAGACCATTTCAGAAGAATGTTTACTTGTCCTTCGACTTACAGTCCTGTGATTAATGTGCGGCAGACTTCAGCTTACATGTGCATTTCATATGTGCACAATCGTTTAAATGTGCTGTGTGTGTGAATATATGTACCTGTCCTTGTGCATTGGTGACCAGTTGTCCAGTGAAGGTTAAGCACATTAAGAATGACACCGCATTTGTCTTATGAAATCATATTTCATGTTGGTGGCCTAAAATTGGCTGAGATTGATACTATGTCCCCTGGACTGAAAGTCACCCTTTTTTTATCACTAATCACAGAAATCGTCTCTTTGTGGCCGGCGTTTCTTTGTCCTTCTGCAAAAGTCAAGTGCCAGTTGATAATATCAGCGACCCAAAATGTTAAGGGCAACGATTTTAGCTCCTCAATGCCTCACCATGTGGCTATTGTGAGTGGTAAAAGCTCTCAGAGACTTCAGGACATTTCAGCCTTTCATCTTTAGAATTTGTCAAGAGATTTGCAAATGATTCTTCTGTACACAGAGGCAGCATGGAGACGCTACTTTAAAACAACTGCAAATTGTTTCTCAACGCTTCGTCTAATGCGCTCATCCTTTTTATTGTCACGCATTAGTCAAATTTCAAATCGCTTGCGATTTCCTGCCTAGTAACCCAGTGACACCGTGAATGCTTATTCTATTAAATAGAAAAGCAGAATAGCTTTGTGATTGCAGGAAAGGTGTCTGCGTAGGAAGCATCTTATCTTGGACTAATATCTTCAGATAATAAAAACGTGTATTTCTGAGTGGGGGTGAGATGCAGAGAGAAAGCACACGCGAGAGAGAGATGGACAAGGATGGCAATATCAAGCAGAGATTGAATTCATAGATAATCCTCTCACCCTATCTGAGGGCAAACACTCTCTCTTTCTCTCCCCTTCACTCTCTCTCTGACGGAGTAGATGAAACGCGTTCTCCTGGAATGATAAGAAGGCCAAGTGAATTATATGAGCTGATACATATAGGATCATCTTTAATGATCCACTGGCATCTGAATCTGCTTTAGTTCATTTCCTAGCTTAACTTAAGAAGAGAGTCAAACACTGTCTCAGAGCAAGTATCTTAAAGATGATGGTTTCAAGCATCAAATTGTAGTCTGTTTGTTTTTTAATTGATCAGTATTGACTGATATTGGATATTTTTAAATGTGCAAGCTAATTTCTTCAATTTTAACATTTAGATTTGTAATCATCTAACATATGAATATGTGTTTTACTGTACATGCTTTATAATGTTGTGAATTGATGCATCACTTTTAGCTTTTAAAATCAATAGTTTTAAGTATGTTAATATTTAAGCATATTTAGTTTAGGAGTTGTGGTTCCTTGTCCCTATTGCCTTGGGCTTGCTCAGTTTGGGTTTAAAAGATAATTAATATTACTGATTTCACTGGACTGATACTATCAGATGAGAATTTGAACTAAATTGAGCTGGATGATGAAACTAACATGTACGCTATTACTGTATTGAACTGAATTGTGTAGAATAATGACACTATTGCCTTCTGTAAAACTGCTTATATTTGAAATGAACCTGTTTCATAATTGATGAACTGGAGCATTGACACAGTAATTGAACTGAATTGAAACAACACTGAACAAAATTCAGTTGAATAATGACACTAATGCTTTCTAGCTGGCATTTAAGTTTTCACAAATTATGAATTTTACAATATTAACAATGTTATTTTCCTGTTTATTAATGTAAAAGCTGCTTTGAAACATTGTATAAATAGCTATAGAAATAAATGCAACTAGAATTGACTATATACAGCAATCGTTTTTATATGTTTGGTATATATTGAAAAGGCCTTATTGTCCAGTTATTGTTTACTGTTTCATTCTTGTAATTTTAGGAGCGATCAATAATATTTAAGCCCATTATAAAACACTCAGCAGCACAGCGGGGCAGATTAAGACTCCTTAACTTGGGGGGCAGCAGGAAGGTAACATGGAGAATGTGTGGATTGCAGGGGATTGCAGTGTTTGTCATCTAAACAGGTGATTTTCCGGCAGGCTGCCTCCACTTGGAGCCATGTGGGGAGGCAGGAAACCGTGTTACCGCTCCACTGTTTGTGTTGATTGTATCTTTGTGTGTGGATCTAAACAGCTGGCATCCTTTTTACAGAAAAACAGCAGGTAAACCTCAGGGTAAATTTGACAAAAACACCTGTTCTTTCTCTGTCTTTTTTCTCATCTTAGGTTAAAGTTGAAGGGGTTTGATAGAGAGGACTTGATCTAATACATTTCTAATGTAATGCTCACCAATGCTGCATGTTGCAACAATTTTTGTTCTTTTTTTTAAATCTATTTTGTGCATTTCATATGTGCACAATCGTTTAAATGTGCTGTGTGTGTGAATATATGTACCTGTCCTTGTGCATTGGTGACCAGTTGTCCAGTGACCCCCTGCAGGCTGGAGAGAGCATTACCAAACACCTGTGACCCGGCAATTGAACCCATCGCTGCTGCTGCTGCGGCAATCGCTGCATGACTGGCCAGAGGGTTGAGCTGAGGAAGTGAATACAAAATAAAAATTAATGATTTGGCACATTGATTACAGCAAGAAATGATTGAATTCTGCAGGCATTATTCATAAATATTTGAAATGAGGTAACAGCTTTAAATTAAACAGGTACATTTATACCTAACAGAACAAATTATACTTAAAGAATAATGTTCTGTGGATGAACCATATGGATAACCATGTATAACCATGGATGACTTTTATTTTAAAAGGCCCACTTTAAAATGTATAGTTTACATTTTTAAACAAAAAATTTAAATGTAGGTCCACTGAAAAATGTTTATTTTTAAAATGAAGAAAATAACTTATTAAAATTAACTATTGCAAATAAAACACTTAATTTCAACCATGACATTTTTTTTAGAAAATAAAGCTGATTTTGTTGTTCAGAAAAATTACATAAAAGAAAAAAAAATGCAGCCAATGTTTTTCTGCACTGTTTTTTTTTTATAAAAACATATCTGATCCCATTTATTTTTTCTCTAATTTTTAAATCACTTCAGAGATAAATTACTTTAGTAAAAATGAGTGTGAATATTCCAGATAGATAGATAGATAGATATCTTTTTTGCTTTGTTTTACTCTCATTTTAACTCCTGTGGTTGATTTATCCTCATTGTAGCAATTTGCCATTGTCAAAAACTCACATTCAAGCACACATACAAACGCACAGGTGAATAAATCAAGCTAACCTCCTAATAAGCCAAATGTAATTTATTCCTGTGATGGCAAAGTTGAATTTTCAGCAGCCATTAATCAAGTCCTCAGTGTCAAATGATCCTTCAGAAATCATTCCAATATGATGATTTGGTAACATTTCTCATTATTTTCAATGTTGAATACAGTTGTGCTGCTTTGTGGAAACCCTGATACATTATTTTCAGGATTCTTTGATGAATAGAAAGTTAAAAAGAACAAAGTTTTTTTTTTTTTGTGAAGAAAATAACTTATTAAAATTAACTATTGCAAATAAAACACTTAATTTCAACCATGACATTTTTTTTAGAAAATAAAGCTGATTTTGTTGTTCAGAAAAATTACATAAAAGAAAAAAAAATGCAGCCAATGTTTTTCTGCACTGTTTTTTTTTTATAAAAACATATCTGATCCCATTTATTTTTTCTCTAATTTTTAAATCACTTCAGAGATAAATTACTTTAGTAAAAATGAGTGTGAATATTCCAGATAGATAGATAGATAGATATCTTTTTTGCTTTGTTTTACTCTCATTTTAACTCCTGTGGTTGATTTATCCTCATTGTAGCAATTTGCCATTGTCAAAAACTCACATTCAAGCACACATACAAACGCACAGGTGAATAAATCAAGCTAACCTCCTAATAAGCCGGGTGAATGCAGTGCTTATTTGGTTGCAGGGCTGCAGAATACAGGCTTATTAGGTTCTTTAAGTAGATCAAGAGCTCACGCAGGACTGCACACAGACTCCCCAATTACTCATCACAATGAGGCAGTAATGGAAACAGTGCTCCGAGCAGACAGAGGAGAACAGGCGCGGTGACAGCAGACAGAAAGAGTAAAAAAGACAGCATATCCTAATGGCAGTCAACAGTGATATAAATCATTCCAATATGATGATTTGGTAACATTTCTCATTATTTTCAATGTTGAATACAGTTGTGCTGCTTTGTGGAAACCCTGATACATTATTTTCAGGATTCTTTGATGAATAGAAAGTTAAAAAGAACAAAGTTTTTTTTTTTTTGTGGTAACAATGTAAAAGTCTTTTTTATCAATATAATGCCTACTTTCTGAATACAAAATCTTTAAATCTTTATAATTAATCAAATTTATTTTACAGTGTTGTATCTGTCACAACACAATTAAGATATCAGCTAAAGTGACAGAATTAAGCTAAACGGATACATTTACATACACAGAAAAAACACAAACATAGTAATTAATATAATTGTCAAAAACTGTGATGATCAGAAGAATTTAAATAAATATTTCTCTATAAAAATATTTTACACATACCTACTATAAGGTATATCTAAAATGCCTAACAGGGAATTCTATGCAATGATTTACATTAATCAGTGACAGTTTTTTTAAGTAGTTGCATGACCAATATAAACTAAACAGTGTCTTCATTTGCTTGGCTGTAAAGTTGTGTGTGTATAAACTTCATAATACCAGTGTTTTGTTGTGCTACATCGCTACTCAATAGATAAAGATAGTAGAAGCTTGTTACTGGAAAAGTGACACTTTTTTGAAACATCTAAACTACTAAACAAAAAAAAGAAAGAAAGAAAGAAAGAGATCCTTCTTACACATGTTTTGCACCTCATGGCAAAGTGGGTGAGTAAATTTGAAACTCTATTAAGTTCTGCGAGGCCTGCAATGGTCGTTTGACCAGCGGGGTCAGATGGAGCAACAACCCATATAAGACAGCAGGTTATTTCTGAAATCAAATTGCTATTCTTTTTTGACAAGTTCTGAGTTTGCTTTTGCTATGAATCACAAAGCGTATAATCCCAAAAGATGCTGTCAGTACAAGAGTTCACAGGTGTACGGTGATTATATTTTTGATGCCATTGTGCTTTAAAGGGATCGTTCACCCTGTAATTAAAGTTCTCTCATTATTTATTCACCCTCACAGCATTTCAAACCTGTATGACTTACTTTCTTCTGTGTAACATGAACAGAGAAATTCTAAATAATACATTGGTTGCTTTTTACCATGCAATTAAGTCTCTTATGCTCAGCAAGAGTGCATTTATTTAATCAAAAATACAGTAAAAACAGAATTATTAAGAAATATTTTTACAATTTAAAACAACTATTTCTATTTTAATATCATTTAAATATTTTTACATTTATAAAATGTATTTCTGTGATGGCAAAGCTGAATTTTCAGCAGTTGTGTGTGTATAAACTTCATAATACCAGTGTTTTGTTGTGCTACATCGCTACTCAATAGATAAAGATAGTAGAAGCTTGTTACTGGAAAAGTGACACTTTTTTGAAACATCTAAACTACTAAACAAAAAAAAGAAAGAAAGAAAGAAAGAGATCCTTCTTACACATGTTTTGCACCTCATGGCAAAGTGGGTGAGTAAATTTGAAACTCTATTAAGTTCTGCGAGGCCTGCAATGGTCGTTTGACCAGCGGGGTCAGATGGAGCAACAACCCATATAATCTCCTGAACAAGGGAAAAAACAGCTTGCCGTTACCATGGCAAGGGACTTCTGGACATCAAAGTGAGCACTCCAAAAGCTAGAGTTCATTTTCCGCCTTTTCCGTTCAGACTGCAAATTTAGACTTAATCGCTTTCTCTGCTAATACAATAGGAAGAGGCAGGCCTCAAGGGACAGGGTCCTGCTAACACTACAGGTAAAAAAAAAAAGAAGCTAAAACACCTCTAAAGATAAAATAAGTTTTACAAAACCCTGTGTTGGCAGGATGTAGGAAATCAATGTCATAGTAAGAGAATACATATGATTTATATACATATGACAATATTTGTATTGCAATTTGGTTAATCTGTAATTTTGTCTTGTTTTAAAAAAAACTGAAACACCTATAAAACTTGTTTTCCCAGAATATAAATGTAAAAATTAAATAGATTTTTCTTACCCCAATGTCAAACTTTTTCTTAAATAAAACCCAGTAAATGTTTAGATTTATGTCTTAAAGAAAAAATACTTAAAAATAGCTAATTAGGTAATAAAAAATACTGTAATTCAGGATATATTATCTGAAAATCGTATCATCCTACACTATTTAAAAAAAACTGGTAAACTGGTATGCAGGTTTACTTTGTAGCTTTAAATAAGACAATAGACATTGGCTTCAGTCAATGAATGCTATTAAACATCTAAAAAGCCAAAACAAAATTGTTTTTGCAGGAAAAAAAATACCTTAATTCATTATCTGAAATCACATCATTTCACACACAGTGCTTGAAGAGGAAAAAAATAAGTGCCGGTACTCAACCCTTTAATTTTAAACTTTAATTTTCATAATTCACAATGTAGGCTATGTGTAGTGTCACAATCAATCAATAATTAAATCAGTCATGTGACGGTGCTAAAAAAGAACATTATTTTGTGCATTTGGTGTAATGAAATGTGTTTATGCGGTTTAAGGTTAAAAAAACACATTATTTTCCACATACTGTACATTATTGTTTCTCCTTATTGCCCCGCCTTTCTGAAACACGTTGATTTTTACAAAGCTCATCGTTCTGAAAAGCGAGGTGTGCTCTGATTGGCCAGCTATCCAGTGCATTGTGATTGGCCGAATATCTCAAATACTATTAGAAGTGTGTGACGGAAATGTTACGCCCCTTACCACATGATGCCGTGTCCCGGCGCGACGAGACAAAATCAATAAAACCCATTATAAACGAGGCATTTGTTGCATCCAGTGGGGACATAATTACTGATTATAATGACTTATACTGTCTTTTTACGCGTTGCGTTGCATCGCGCCACGTAAACATAAAACCATGTCTGCATTTGTGATCGGAGAAACGACAAACAACAAGCACTACTCTACACTGCTCAAAACTCGCGTTTGAATCGTCAGTGGCAAATTCTTTAAATATAAAAACGTACTTACAGTCTGTGAGTCAGAACAGCCGGCATTGTA